TATTTACAGATTGATGAACATCTTTTAAAACATGGAGTTTACTTGGATCGTTATTTCTACATATATCTCTTCTTTTTCAGGTAATACACCACTGTGTCTTGCTGTTCAAAGCGGACATGTAGATGATGTTAAGATGCTTATAGACAGAGGTGCCAACGTTAATGCTAAAACTCGGGATGGCACAACTCCGCTTCACGATGCAATTAAAAAGAAGAAAATAGAAATTGCTGAAGTACTTTTAAATCATGGAGCTAACGTTAACGCCACTAACGATGACGGTATAACTTTTTTTTATTGCAGCTGAGAAAGGATATTTACAGATTGATGAACATCTTTTAAAACATGGAGTTTTATTGGAGAGTTAATTCTACATATATCTCTTCTTTTTCAGGTGTTACACCATTATGTCTTGCTGTTAAAAACAGACATGTAAAAGTTGTTACGATGCTGTTAGACAGAGGTGCTAACATTAATTCTATATCATATAAGATTTATCATGACCTTTATCGTGGCATCAATGGTTATGAACCAGTTGCTGAGATTCTTACACAGCATATAGTTAAGATGAAAACTGCAAATTTCTACGTAAGTGAACAATTATTGTCAATGAGTAGCAATTATGAAATAAGATATTTACAGGATATATGTGAAAAGAAGTAGTAGTCATGAAGAATGAGAAACTTAGTAATTGTAACATTTCATTTTATGATATCTTGATAAAAGATACAAGTCCATTAGCAATATATATGAGAAATGAAAATGTAGTGCAGGTTCTAAGATCAGACGATTATAAAACAAAATTTCCAATATACACTAGCATGATAAAAAATAAGTTTAGAAAAGGTATGGAAAGGAAAGAACAAGGCACTAAAATTTTCTATTTTTTCTGTAATTTCCCTGAGCTACCACATGAGTGTATTGAACAAATATTTAGTTACCTAAGTGATGACGTAAGAATTTTAATATATACTTGTAAGTCTGTTAGTGTCAGTAATCTTAATACTGATATTAATGATGTAACAATTACCTCAAATACATCTAAAGTGCTATGTGTGTAAGTTAAGGAAGAACGAACTACTTTAAACATGAAATAACAGCTATAAAAATTTAAAGATTATTATTTTATTTTATAAATACAGATTACTATCTTATTTTAAAATTATATTTTTGTAAGAGTTTATCGTATTTTACTTTTTTCAAAGTCGGTTTTTACGTTTATATTCTCTTGGATATGTTTTCTTATGATGAATCCAAGAAAAACTAGGCTGTTTTATATCTCTCACTTTTGCAAACTTTGTCAGATTTTATAACATTTGTACAACGAAAAATTTATACACATTAATCCGATGATACTCTTTCATTGAACAGAGTGTAACACGTGTAATTGCTTTTATTAATTTAAAAAATAAAATTAGATTGGAAAACTTTGAATCAATCTTTGTTTTTA